TCAACTGGAGATGAATTGTTTACTATAACGTCTATCGAAAATGATCATGCTCCAAGCATTACAAAGCGCCACAAACCACTTCAAAGGCTGATATTCACCGAAAAAAGGTTTTACTGTCGGTTTGTTGCGATTGGAAGGGTGTGAAATATTTTGAACTGCTTCTAAGGAATGAAACGATTAATTCGGATGTCTACTGTGAACAGCTTCTTATGGGGCAACCCAATACATTAAAAGAATTAAATAATTAAATAAGCTTAATAATAAATTGATCGAATTACCGTAAATAAATTGTTTATAAATTAAACTAGGCTAGAATTTATTTATTTTCCAAATATCAAGCAAATCAAAAAATAAATACTATTTTTCCGGAAAGACCGGTTTCAAGTCTACTTTCCGTCAGTCTTTTAGACTTATTCATTTGATTGTGTTTAATATTATTTTATTATGTTTCATTGCGTTTAACTTAATTCAATTTGCTTATAATAAATATTGAATTAATTTTTTTTTTTTTTCATTTTATTATAATTATTTTATTCTATTTTTATTGTATTTTATTTTATATTTATTTAACCTTTTTTTATTTAACTCTAATTTATTTAACTTTAATTTATTTTAGTTCATTTTATTTTTTACATGCATTATTTTATTTTAATTTATTTTAGCCTATTTTATTTAATTTCTTTTTTTAATATATTTTTTATTTTATTTAGCTTAATTTAGGTTCATTTCATTTTATTTTAAGTTGTTTTTTTTTTGTTCCAGCTATTTTGTTAAATTTTTATTTTCTTAAATTTATTTAATTGATTTTAATTGAACTTCTTTAGTTCTTTTATTTTTTTCATTATGTTTTATTCGATTGTGTTTTGTTTTTAGTTTTTAAATTTCATTTTATTTAAAACAAAATAGTTTTGTTTTAATTAATTTCACTTTTTTTTTAAATAAATTCGAATTATTCTATTTGTATTCAAGTTTGAAGTCTTTTGGTTTTAGGGTATAAATATCCATGCACTGGTATAGTTTTTCTCAGTTTCCTCTATTCAACGCGATCGATAAGTATTCATGCTGAATGCCATTGACATACCAATAACGCAAAGAGAAACACTCAATCATAAGCGGACTTTAGGTCATTCTTATTACTACTTAAGCAGGTGTGCATACACAAACACACAAAAGTACACATATATATGAACATTGAATGAATATGAATATTCATGAGGGCGCGTACAATGCGCTAATTGATTTTGCAAGTTAATCAATCAACTTTTTAACAACTACGAATTGAGGGTGCCAAAGTGCGAAATAAAACAAAAAAAATGCAATGCAATACAAAACGCAATGTAGCAGGAACAGATTTTATTTGTATAACATATTGTAGTTTTATATTAATATTGGTTTCAGCATATTTTTGTTGTCTTTCCGGGTTCAGTGCTTCACCGAGGGTGTGCAAAGTCATCATAAAAAAGGTTATCCAATCTGGAATTTTTTGCGATAAAAATGTTGCGCAAATTTATTATTTGCTCAGATCAGTGACCTTAAATTAAGCACAAAAAAAATAATAATAATTAACAAAAATCAGAGGAGTAATTAAGATAAAAATAAAAATATATGCATAGTTGCCTAACATCACTGATTTGGTAAACGTATGAGATCCAAGAATTAACGGCCCCAGCATCGCAAAGACAGGACTTTTTCACTTGAAATGCAATGCAATTACGGCAAGCTCATCAGCGGCCAAACCCAAATACAAAGAAAAGTCCAATATGACTTTAAATATAAAATTCTATATTAAAATAAAAACAAAAAGAAATAGTTAATTCGAAACTGAAATTCATGACGTGATGCTATGTCACATCAGGTCACGTCATACCGGGTGATATCACGTCATACCGGGTGATATCGCATCACATTATCACATAGAATTAAAGAAATTGCGAATTCTGCATACTTTTAAGTCCTCTGTGGGCCAAATTTTCTGTTTCTTAAGAAATTTTTACATGAAAAAACACACAGAAAATCTCGTGACTTTTAACAAATCCACAACAATGATTTTTTTGGTGATTTTATTTTATATCTTTTTTCGATAATACAAACTAATAAAAAAAGAGTTGGAAGAACCTTTTTGTATTTTTATTACATAATTAATTTTCCGTCATTCCTCTATCAAACTATTAGCTTTTGAGCTAAATATGTATTTAGTAAAACATTGTAGAAATCTACAATAATAACAAGTCTATTTATTTTCCAATCTATTCACTTTTACTTCTTGACTGATTTAGGCAGCAAAGTTGCCTTTTAAGGCTTTTTAAGACTTTCAAATATTTAATATTATTAGGTTTATATTTTAACGGTATATTTGCAATCCGGTATTTACTATATTATTTAACTTCAATTTGAAAGCCTATTTAGGCTTTGTATTTCTTTTTTTCTGCACTCCATTATCATAAATCTACAAGATTCGCAAAGAGTTTAAGAAGACTAGGAAGACAGATTGACACTAATCTGTGACAATGCCAAACATGGGGAGTATAAACTTGACAATGAAGGTTATTGCGCCAAACGAATTTAAGAAATTCCACGCAAAAAATTCAATATATGTGAATATGAGTGTATATATTTTCAAAATGTTCACACTTCATTGAGCAAGAAGATTGATTGTTGTGACCGTTGGCGTTATTAAAAAATCTTAATCCAATGCAAGTCTGATGATTTTTTAGTATATCATTTTATATAATAGCTGTAGGTGTGTATGGCTGCATGTATTTCTCTCTTTACTTATTAGGTAACAACGCATAGCTGAATCATTTGGCTAACGCCACATCAGGCACTTTTTTTTATGAGTAATACAAAGCAACTAGAGAAATACATGCATATACCTACGTGTACATCTAAACATTCATATATATGCAAGAGCCTCGAGCCAACGCCAAAAGCTTGTCAAATCAAAGCGTAGACACACGCGTCTAACTAATCATGGCCAAAGCCGGCTTTGTTGAGATCAGCCAGCAACAACAATAACACGACCAGCACAGCATGCTGAAATCTCAAGCGATCAGCTGTACCAAACACACGCTGCCGCTGCCTCATTTATGGCCTGCGCAAAGTTTCCACGCAATAAAACACATTAGCACTGTCTGAAAGAGAGTATGAAGCCCAAAAACGGAATACAAAAGCGCACCCACTGGTGTGTGGCGAACGCCAAAACGCCAGTCGAAATTTGAAATTTTCGCAGATGAATTTTATTTGCTGTCTTTATGAGTATGTATGTTATGTACGGATTACCGCAAACGAAAATTCAATGAAATTATCCAGTAATAAAGAAGTGTTGAAACAACCATTAAAATTACTTTTTGCTCAATTCTTTCATGGTTGTCAAACATTTTTCAGTACTGCGAAACGTTTCGGGCAGTAATCGGAGATGATGATGCTGGTATTGAGTAAAAACACACAAACAAAGAAAAAATGCTAAAGCACACACGTATAACAAAGTAAACGCATTGCCTTAACGGTGATCTATTGTTTGAGCGTGTCTAAAAATATATTTGCATACACATACGTATACGTATACGTATAATTATGTATGTATGTATGTATGTGGTATGTCTGTCGAACAACCTCCACTGCTTTTGAGCTCAACATTTGCATTTTTTTGGGTTAGTCTCTAATAACTTAGCAGTGGCCGGCTTTGAAATACAAATAAATCTGCTATGAAGCAAACAAAAAGAAATGATCAATTGTGGTGGTGCGGGCGTTTGGACCGTTATATTGTATTATGCTTTCTTGTTGCTGCTGTGAGGTTAAGCTGATGGATGATGCAAGATGCAACAATTTTTGTGGTAAAAGTTTAACAAGCAAAATGATTGCTTCTTGCAATCGGGTTTCGGTGAGGGCTAACGTGGCACATACCAAATCTCTGAGTTTGGGAAATTTCATAAACAGCATTCGAAAATAAAAATAAGTAATTTATAGAAAAACCAATTAAAATAATTTAAGCAGATTGAAGTAAAAGAAATTTTATTTAACTAAAGGAAATATATGAAGATATAAATAAATTCAATTAAAATTTAGTACAAAGAATAAATATATATTTACATCTATGTATAATTGGCGCTTTGTAACCGCTGTGGTTTTGCGGCTTGATGATTTACGAAGAAATGGAGGGACCCTAATAATAATACTAAGTCGCCTCCAAACGGCTGATGGTTTTTTTATGAGGAGTTTTCGCTTTTCTTGTTAGAAATATACTCAAAGGGATTGACATTCTCTGCCGAAGGGCGACCGAGATTATAAAGTTTAGCTTAAGTTTTTATTTAAATTAAATTTCCATAACTTTTTGGAGGTTCGTACGACACCAGGACTTCAACACGAGGCTTCCGAGTGTCAGTACGCAGAGCTAATAACTCGGCCACCGCGGCCGCCACTTAATAAAATAAAAGAAAGTAAAATTGTAGTAGCAAATGGTAGTCGAAAATTACCTCAAAGGAATCGAAGTTTTCAAATATTTTTGAGGCGGTCGCTTGAATCATTTAATGCTTCAAATTTAATTCTTTTTTATAAAAATAGTAGTTTTTTGGAAACGAAATTTTTGGTTTTTATTTTTGGAAGCGCAAAATGAATAACCGTGTACAATGGGAATTTTAAAATTAATTAAAATTAGCGTCATGGTCTAATGGAAAAGAATTGTCTCTGTAAATGTAAATCAAAACCAATTTTACACCTACAAATATTTCCACAAACCAATTTAGGGTACAACGCATTTCTTTATGAAAGCGAAAACTCTCGAATCAGTTTCTTTTTAAAATAATTCCTAAAAATTCTTAAGTTCAAATAAACTCAAAATTTCAAAAATACTGCATATAATAAACTGTTTTGATTAAAAATTCGTTTATATTATTAAGGTTCTTTTAGACAAACTTCTAAATTCCTACACCACATTAAATAAACAATATCAACATATTGAAGGAAAATATCAAAAATATCAAATGATTCCATAAAGCACTTACTTCGTTTTGTATGCTCCACAAATTCGGTCGATTTTGCAGATTTTTTCCGCACTGAAATCCACGCGCGTACTGAAAGTGTTGTTGTTGTTGTTGTTGTTGTTATTTCAACTAATGCAAATTCGGTTGAAATTTTAGTACACTTTAATGAAAACAACAGATCAGGCTTTTGAATTATTTCAAGCAGATTCTTGTCGCTTGCTCTGTAGCACAAAATCCGCGCACAAACAAACCAATTTCACTTGCAGGTTATTTATGTGATTTTTGGCGAACGCACAGCTTTGTTGTTGCGGTTTAAAAAAAAAATTTAAAATGTAAGCCACGATCAGACGAAATAGTGTAAATAAAATGAAATTTTATATTCCCAACGTGGACGCATACAAATGGGCATTTAAAAAAATTGTTCGAGCATAAAAGTGGGCTTTTGAAGTGTCGATTTTTCGGGCTTTAAATTCGGCAATCTTCTGCCAATATTAAAAAATTTATTTTGCTATTTGAAACACTAAATTTTTAAATAAAAATTCATTGAAAGTTGCATGTGCGGATCACTTCTTGAATGGCGATTTTTATATGGTTTTAATTGGTTTTCTGTTATGTTTTAGCAAATTCGCTTCTTCTGTCTTCCGCTGGCATTCTTAAGCAGGTTAGTAGAATTTATGTATCGGAAATTCCTTTTCTTAAATTCGAAAAAAAAACACGTTTTGTGTGAATTTTTAAATACCTTAAAGCACTTTAGCCCGAAATTCGAAAAGTCGTATTGGATAAGTTGAATTTTTTGGACTATTTTCGGATTTGAAATATTTTCCCCTTTAGCACTATCACTTAGAAATATCCACTTGTTGATATACATTCGCATACAAGTAGGTATTTATATATATATTTATATATTTATATATTCCTATTTCATTTCACGTGCCTCCGCCAAAAAAAACACGTCCGTTTGGTTCGCTTTATCTCAACACTTTGCGCTTGGCGTGCGTTCACTTCGTTCGCTTTCGCTGCTGATGCTCACCGCTCGAAACCCACTGAGGGTTGTCGAGTTTCGTGTTTGACTTTAAGTCTAGACCTTTTTGTCGCTCACTAACACTGCTGGATGTTATGGAACTGCGATCATTGTAGTACTTCTCATTTTCATTGTTGCACAGTGGGCTAAGTTGGTTGCTGTTTTGAAACTAATTAAGCGCGGCCAGCTGCTGGCAAAGAAGAGTGCTCTCCTTGCTAAAATATATCCAAGCAAATTCCCAAGTATTTAGCACATTTCAATCCACCAGTGCAATATGGTATAAGTTAGTTTGTGAATATGTATATCTCGATACAGAATTATTTCGGTTCAATCGCCTTATCTCTTTTCCATCGATAATTTGGAGTTAAACGTTTCATTTCGATTGTCTTCATCATTATCTTGAGAAGGAGATTTTCAAACACTTTTGACAAGTTGGAGAGGCGGCTTCACTTCTTGTCCAGCATTTCCTGGTTTCAATACCAACTTGATCTCAACTACTTTACACTAAGCAAAAGCCACTGTTAGCAATGTGGGAAACGAAATAATTTTTTTTGATGATCTGCAAAAAGATTCGATTTTTCCACTGTAGTTTTTGGACTTTCGCTTGATTCGTAAACTCTAATTAAATTCTAGAAAATTTTCAGAAATAATTTCAATTTAATTTTCGAACTAAAAAATTTTTAAATAGAAATCCAAAAGCACAAAACCCGAATTCTGATCTGGTAATTAATATTTTTTCACTACAAAAGGCTGCCCGATGGATGAAAATAGTTCGAGAGAGCCCAACCTGATTCTGCTCATTAAATTTCTTTTATTTTTTATCTTTTAAACGAAATTGCACACAATTCGAAAGACATGACTAAACAAAATTAGAAATTTCTCAAATATTTCTAAGAAATTCATATAATATCTACCAAAAATATCATTAAAATTAATAAATACAAAAAACTCGTTTGCTGTCAATTTTTTTTCCAATTGATTTAAAAAATCAAGCATGAAAAGATTATTACTTCCCATCCACCCAGATCATACTTGATGGTCCACTGTGCACTACTGTCCCAGCACTTTCAGTTTCAAGTTTGTCGCTTAAGTCTTTTTTATTATTTGTGAGCCTGCTTTTTAGCTATTTGGAGAGCCCTGCAGAGGTGCTCTAGCAAAATGTAAACGCTATAGAGTAGATATGAGTGAATATTTATACGCTCATATATGCAAGTACATAAGTATGTATGTACATGTAGCTGCAATACATAAGAAAAAAAAAGCATTATTCAATTGCATGTGTTTTGTATTTGCGCCGCATATGGTTGTTAGCTGGTGGGAAGCAGCAGCGAAATGCCGGTTTGCTGGGCGCTCACAGCTTTCAGTTGTCTCAGCTGTTTTTGTTACTACAACAAAAAAAAATGTATGTTGCAGCTTTTGCTTTTGTTTAAATTAATTAGTTGTGTTGCTTTTTTGTGTGGATTTTTTTTTTTCGATCTTTTAATATATATATTTTTTTTTTTTTGCGTCTGGCTTTGATAGCTTTGGTGCCTATGAACTTGTTTTTGGGGTTTTCTGTTTTTTCAAACTACACTTATGCCTCAGCAAAATTAATAATTAATTATTCAATTTTTCAGCTTGCATCATGTTGTTGTTGTTGTTGTTATTGTTGATTTTTTGAGTACTTGCATGCATGAACTTTTTTTCAATTTCCCAAAATTTACTTTTGAGTAGCCACAAATTCGTGTCTCTAGTAAGCGTGTGTGTGTTTGTGGTGGTTATGGCCAGATGGATAATATTGCTGTTGAACCGGCTTAGCATGTCATTTGATGGTTATCCGTGCACTTTTTTGTTAGAGATTGCAGCAGATATTGGTGTGTACGAGCCGGCAACAACGTGCGCGTGCTGCGTGCTGTTGCCGTCGGCGCTGTTATAGCTGGTAGCGATGCATGGGCTATTATTGTTGCTGCTTTGTGATGTCACACTGTTGCTGACGTCGTCGACGAAGATGATTATGCTCCAAAAAAGCCAACGGCATTTTTTCCGCCTGACGTATCAGCCAAGCGCTTGGCGCATACACATACATACACATACATTTATGTTGATTTCAAACGATCGTCAAATTCAGGTTCTCGCATTGTAGTTTTCCAATAGTGTTTTTTCATCTTCTCTTTTTGTATTGTGTTATTTTTAGAAAATTTGAAGCTATTTCATAGCTCTGTAATTTATTGCCTTATTTTCAAATCAATATGCATATGCATATTTTCCTGATACGCGCATTGGTGTTAAATTGTTCATCTGTTTGGCATGCGCGGATCAGGTTTCGCACAATCAAAACAGCAGGAATTAGTGAAATCAGCAATACATTATTTGTATATGTAGGAAATAAGTAACCTTAGAGTTTCTGTTTTCCTCTTTATTTGAAACTATTCCATTTGCTGGTACTTTAAGCTATTTTTGTTTAATTTATTTACACTTTTTATTGTTTTTTTTTTTTTAATTTATTTTATACCTTCCATGTACATAAAATGGCAAGGTATGGTCCGAAATATGTGAGTAAAAGAAGAAGACAAGTTTCGCTGGAAGGGTTAGAACGTCGAGTTGAGTTGCAGGATCCATGCTCGCCTGTTAGTGAGGAAACTAGTCTCTCAACCAAACTTTGGTATAAAGATGCACTACATCAGTGAGATCGAACCACGATAGCATATGTACCACCGATTTTCCAAATTAGAGTTTTCAACTCAAAAAAGTATCCAGGAGCATGAAATTTAGAGCTTTGCATATAAATATATCAAAAATTAGTACTGAAAATCATACAGATATAGCCCCCATAACGACTATTTGTTCAAATTTGAAGTCTCTTGTAAAAAAAGACCGTTAAAATATAATCCAAAGCGTGAAATTTACTAATATTGAAATATAAGTTCAATCGAATATTTATCGATAATCATACAAATTGAATTCTGCCATTTTTAAAAAATAAAAAAAAGTTCATAAATAATATTATTATTATCTTTTAATTTTAACTCATTGATTTAATTTTTATTCCTTTTTTTCTCATTATATTTAATCATTTTGGAAAATAGTGACAAGATTACAACAACAGTTTTGGACAGTAGAATTTATAGCTGCTATTTCGGAAGCCACCACCTTTCCTCATCAGACTTATATTTCAGCAGGAGCCAATGGTTATCCCATTAAGCTACATGTGTTCCGCTTTCTTTTTTCATTCAAATTTATTTTATTTATATTTTCTTTTTTACTTTTTGTTTGATTTTATTTTATTTAGTTTAGTCTATTTCTTTCCTTTAAATTAATGAATGCAAATATTTATGAGTTGATTGAAAGCCACAATAAAATATGCTTTCAGCTTTTACCTTCCTCATTTATCATAATTGAAGCCATATTTGTCCGTATTGTATGTGATCTCTTCCCAGTAGTTCTAATGGTGGCAAGTAACCTCCACAGACTAACTCTTGTGTGCATTACCATTCGTTAGACAATTCGCAAAGTAGCGGTCATACATCGTTTCCCGGTCAGATCCATTTTATTTTGCTTAAACACATTGATCTCGATAATTTTTTTTATTTTTAAAGCAAATGAATTACATAAATAATAAATTTAAATATATGTACAAGTACATCTGCTTCAATGAATATCGGCATCGCTTAAATAATCTGCCACTTTGCACCAGTCAAATCGCTCCATACGTTGCAATGACATCCCCATCTTAAATTCGTTAGGAAAGCGAATGGACGCTTATTAAGGCTTGTGACCAGTACTCACCCCTGAGAGCCGATTGAGTCGTTAGTTGGGAACTAAGGTAGTCGAACTTCTGGGTTGCGATCACAATTGTGACATGGGTGTACACCTTGAATACTTGTGTAAGTATCAAAAAAACATGTTGAAAAGCCACTTGACCATTTATCTGCGTGTTAAATCTGTTATTTATTTGCTTAGCGCACTTTTGCTTGTTATCTCACATGAATATTACGTCGATTGGACATGCAAATGCCAACGAGTTCCGTGTCGACACTCGCAATGTGATACACTTTTAATTGTTTTCAAATAAATTGGCATGTGTATACTCGTATGTAAGCATAAATTACTTATTTAGAATAGAACATGTCACGAATTTCGCATGCCAACTTCAGGCTGACATGTTTATGTGTGTACATATGTGTGTGTATGTGTGTGGATGTGTGCATGCCTACGCAAGGCAGGTGGGCGAATATGCGCAATTCCCGAGGAAATGTCAATTTATTTACTCAGTTATGATGCTTATTTCGTTAGATATATATTATTTTCAGTTCATTTAGTCCACACACACAAGTCGACATTTGGTGAAAAGTCAAATTTTAATTATTCTTTGCGTCGCTTACAAACGCATGTACTAATTAATTCTTTTGTTTTATTTTATTTTATATTTGCTGTTCTTTTCTTTGGTGCTAGATTAAGAAAAACCGGAAATATACGCAACTCCGGAAGTTGACAAACTGCCTTTGGCCAATATCGATTATTTATGACCAACTCGTTTTGTAGAGTTATTTTCTAACAGACGTGCATACATACAGACATATCTATAAACATGCAAGCATGAAGCATTTGTGGTCTTCTCGCTTGTTTAGTCTTTCGTCTTTCGTCTTTCGACTTTTGTTGTGTTGTTTGCTTTACACTGTCGCCAAACAAATGCAAATTAATTTTTCTTCTTAAAAAGTGCTCGACCGAACGATAAATACCAAATTCGGCTTCGGTCGCAGCTTTTACGAAAATATTCGATCGATCTCTTTTCATTTTATGATATTGGAGCTACTCAAAAGAGGTAAGCCCTTTAGCGTAAGCCTTGTTCAAAGTGTTTGAATGAAACCTTCGAAATTCGGTAAAAATTTGAATTGTTTTCCGCTTTTTGCTCAAAATGTTACTAAAATCTCCTGCCGTGGACAAATTTCTTCTGCTTAGTACTTTTCCTAAACTTGGAACGAATAAAAGTCATTAAAAATTAGGTACGGACCGTAGAGTTGCTATTCTAA